TGCATTCATCTCTAATAAATTCCATAGACATTCTTAGAAAAAAATAATAATATAGATGGTTGTAGCCCAGTTTGTTTCAGTGTGTTTCAAACTGTCCAGAAAAAAAAGTTGGAGGATGATACCACATTGTAGAGGGATTGTTTTGTGTGTGCCTTCAAGTCAGTGTTGACTCTTGAAAACTATCGGTATTAGTTCCTACATGTTTTCTTGACAAATTTTTTTGGAGTTGGTTAGCTCTTCTTCTTAGGATTAAGAGTAGGGGACTAGCTCAAAATCACAAGTCTATGCTTTAGGAAGGCCTAAAACTCATGGTACCTAGTTTTTAGCTTGGTGTTTTAACCATTACACCAATTGTGAAACCAAGCAACTTCCTCAGCTTGTCTTCTGATAAATTCCACCAGGAATAGGTAATCTTTTATGGTGGACATGAAATGCTGTGAACCATGAATCTATAAATAAGATTGTACTCTAAGCTCCAAGAATCCTTCCATGCAGAGGTGAGAAGAAGGCATTGTAAATTTGATTCTCTTTCCATTCAGATAAAAAGGAATGTTATGTGTGAGAATGCTAATTTTTTTTTCTTAAATGTGCTACAGAAGAACCATACAGATACACAGATTTCACCATAATAGAAGGAAGTCTTGTTAGAAGAATTATGTGAGATTGACCTCTGTGGACCCTTTTTGAAGCTGCTTGTGGATTTTTTCTTATCAGCACTCCAACAGAATACTTTCAAGACGGCAACTTTTAAAAATGCTAAATATTTTTACAAATTTGGAAATCAGTCTAGGAGTAAGGAGTACATAGAAGCATCAGGACTGCTTCTGTTTAGTTTTGTGCTTTCCCCTCTCCACCTACCTATTGGCTTTTGGTGGAATAAAGGATTTTATCAATATTAAAAAACGAATGGCAACTGGGCAAGATCTTAGAATATAGAAAAGGAGAATATAAATATAAAATCTAAAAGACTGGAATAAGAGATTTTTATTTAAACTAGTCTTTGTATATAATGCCAGTTCTATTTTTGCAACATATTGATTGTATTTATACAACTTTGCCAGCCCTTGGGGTAACCAGATGTTACTTAAAACTTACATCATTTTCCACAAGAAATCTGCTTAACTATGCCTTGAAGATGTTCAACAAAAACTACCGTATTAGAACAATGCATTTTATTTAATGTATTACTCTATCAACTATTTGAATTCAAACTTTATATCAAATATAATAAAATGCATTCTATTAAATCCAAAGTTTTATTATGTTAATAACTGAAAAACCAAAGAGCAACTGCTTTGAAAGAATGCAGCCCAGAGCCATTGTCCTTTATTCCAGGATTTCATCTCAGGGTATGAGGTTTTAATTCTTCAAATGTCTTTATTATTAAAGAGATACATTAATTTCCAAACCAGCAATATAATACCTGTTCTAAATTGTCTAGGTTTTCAAAAATGTAGCTCTATAAGTTGCACGCTTTCATTTGAGTAATTGTGATTAAAACCAACCAACCATCTTCTAGTTTACACTACATAAAATGTTATGAAAAATTTGGAAACAGAAAAATCTAATTTAGCATTATTTTGTTATTATAATTTAGATGTGTGTGTGTGTGTATGTTTGCAAGGCACACCAATAGATACGCTTGCACATAATGAGCCTAACAATTAAAAGCTTGGCAGAATGTCAGAATGTCTTAGTGAATGCTAAATTTTCCATAGGACAGTTTCTGGGTATTTTAATGCATTCTACAATATTTGAGGACCTGCCAATCCATCTGAATTTATTTTGAATGGCAGCACATCTGCCAAATGTCCTAGTTGATTTACTCTATGGACAACTTTTAATTAGCATTCAGTACATACATCTGCAGACTAGATTAACTGACAGTGTCCATTGGGTACAAAAGTATTTTTGGCTTTAAATCTCCAATGATAATATAATTAATTCATGTTATTGGACACGTGTTAATATGCACACAACAGAACTAGTGCTCCCTATTAAAAAAAATCATTATTAATTGCTTGGTGTTAAATTGGTGTTAAATGGAGAAATAATATCAGAGACTATTTTTTTTCCGCTAACCTGCATATAAAACACAATGAATACTCAGTTTAATTAACCATTTGGGGGAGGGTATGCCCATTACTATGTGTATTACATTAAGTACATCCTTTGCATCGACTACATAATTTGCATTATGATGTATTCATACACACTTAGCATTATGCAAATGATGCAAACTGAGGGAAATAATGCAAATTCCTTAATTATGGATGATATCTGAATAGAAAATTGTCAACTTAGTGAATCTCTTAAATTGATTTCTGGTAAAGGAATAGCAGTGAAGCAACTAAAAAATTAGATATACCGGTAGCTATTGAAAAAAACATTAGGGGTGTACCAGGTAATCTGGAAAATTGGGAAGGGTTTTTTTTTATTTTTGCTGTAATAGACTGTTTTTAGATAGCAAATGATACCATAAAGAGATCTGAATACACACATAAATACTCATAACTCTAGAATATCCTCTTCCAACCTAAAAATGATTAGGAAAATCCAGGGTAATACAATAATGCCCAGTAACAAATTTAGCTCTAATTTGCACCAACTAATGCCTTTTTATTTATTTTGCTTAAATGTTAGGATATATTTAAAAAATTAAGCAAAAATATAAATTAAATTAAAAAAGAAAAGAAAAAATGGAACAATATAAGGTTTAAATTTATTTTGTTGAAAGTTGGACTGTGGAAGTATATTAATTTAAAAGCAAATAAATTAAATCTCTTAGTTGAACTGACATTTCAAACTGAGTCAAGAAAATTTGAATCAGATACTGCCAAATGAACTTGGGTGATATGAACATTTCTATGGGTGTGCAGAAATGATTCCACCTACCAAATGGATTTGGAAATCCATATTGAATTAAACCTATTATGCATTTTGAACATCCAAAGGTATGTATTTGCAAGTGAGATCATTAATAATGTGCTGCTAGATGAATCCCTCTTTGTCAAGCTATGCTGTTGTTTACAACCTAATTTATAAAGAATTACTAGTGTCATAAAGACTTGATTTGGAGAGCATCATTACTGAAAATATTTGATAACATAAGTTGGGTTAATGTAAAAAAGTGAGTTATACCGTAAGAATAGCGGAGAAAATGAACATCAAGAATTTTTATCAATAAATACATAAAATGGTTTTCAACAATTCAATAATGGGTATGTAGAATGGGAAAGAAACCTTCTCAAGTTATTCCTAGCTATCAGAAAGCATTTTATCATGTCTTGCACGAAAAACATTGTAAAACTGGGTTGCAGTTAAAATGGCTTAATATTTACTTGTCAATGATCCATGATATAAAGTTTTAGTCTAGTAATGGTTGTATGAGGTGGCAGTCAGGATGAGAAACATGATGACAGATGGAATTTATGGCTATGGAATAATTCCTATTCAAGAATGCTGCTGTCTCAGTCTCACCCACCCACAAGTAAGTACATGCAACATTTCAAATCAAGGCAGCACTAATGATTATTTCCTTCTGCAGGTACAGAGAGAAACATCTGCTGTCAGCAAAAGAGTTGCCATTTCTCAGAGTAGGTGAAGGCAATATGTTGTGAGGAGAAATTCACTTCTCGGCTATAAACAAGATTTATTCCAAATTGTTTTCTCACAGAAACCTACTTCCAATTTGTAATGCTTATAGTTTCTGAAAATGTCTGCTACAATATCTCTATTAGAAATGTTGTTTGAAAATGATAGCCTTGATTCCAGTGGGGAGATATTCATTTTCTGGTAGTTCTAGAATTCAGAGAATAACTCCTGCTATTTTTCAAACTAAATATGAACACACCGCACCAAAGCATTACTTTAATTATACATTAGATCTAACATCTAATTGTGGCAGATTGCCCTGAACATTTCAGTTTAGTGAATAGAATGTACCAAACCAACCATATTGTCAGACATGTTAATCAACTCAAATATGAAAATGTAGTTATTTTACATTGATTGTTCCTAAGTAAATTAATATTCTCTCAAGCCCTTATTAGTGAGGAACAATTTACCACAAAAAGGAATAAAGCACCCTACTGGTACTTGTGAATAAATGCCATTGCTTCCTTTTATTTCTGAATATTTAGGGAATACTGTAACTTTATTACTATATATCAAAAGAAAGCATGAAGTATAATGCATAGTCATGTTTATTAATTATAAAAGTGAAAATTATATATTTGCTTATTCTTACAATGTATCATTGTATGTAAGAAAACTCTTTCTTCCAAAACTTTAAGATGGTCTTCTTATTTGACACTGTCCTCTTTACCTCTGCATATTCACAATAACATATAGAAAAATGGAAAGAAATAGCTCAGCCAAGGTATTTTATAAAAATTTGAACCTAGGACTTTCTGGTTCTAGCAGATCACATTAACTATTAGTCTACTTGATTCTTTCTTATATAGGCAGTCCTTGACTTATGACCATTGTATTAACATTCATTTGAAGTTATAAGGCTCCCGAGAAAGAGTAATTTACAACTGGTCCTTTGCATTTAAAACAAACTTTGCAGCATCCCCTGGTTATGTGATCAAAATTTGGGTCCTTGGATCTTGGCATGTATTCACAATGGTTTCAACATCCTAAAGTTTTGTGATCACTATTTCCAAACCTCCCAGGGGGCTTACAACAAGCAAAGTAAACGGGAAAACCTGGATTCATTTAATGACTGCATGATTTGCTTAACAACTATGACAAAAAGATTGTAAACTCAAGCATGACTCACTTAATGATTATATTGCTAAGTGACAAAAGTTGTAGGCCCAATTATGGTCATGTTGAGGACTAACTTCCTGTCTGTCCTGGATTAAAAGTCCTATGTTTCTATTAGGATACAAAAGATTTTAAATCTATCTAGTATATTTAGAAAAAAAAATGGTATATTTTTTTTCCCCCACAAGCTTAACTTATCGTTTTCTTTTTTTTTTAATTTTTCCTAGATGTACATCCAGACAACAACTCTTACAGTGTCCTTAAGTTTAAGTGCTTCTGTCTCTTTGGGCATGCTCTACATCCCCAAGGTTTATATTATCATTTTTCATCCAGAACAAAATGTGCAAAAAAGGAAGAGGAGCTTCAAGGCTGTTGTCACTGCAGCCACAATGCAAAGCAAGCTGATCCAAAAGGGAAATGACAGACCAAATGGCGAGGTTAAAACGGAACTTTGTGAAAGTCTTGAAACCAACAGTAAGTCATCAGTAGACTTAACCATGGTCAAGAATGGCAGCACTTCCTAATAGATGTACGTTCACAGGAATGTTTCATAAATTAATATTTTTTCTATCTTGGCTTGCCATGCATGAACTAGGCATGTGTCAAAATTCATGTGGTCATTTTGTTAAGAAGGTTTGAACAAAGCAAATGTGTCCTATGAACTGGTATATTTAATATCTTGCATTATTTGTTACATAATTTAGCTTTGAGTAGTATGGCTGGCTTAAGATTTCAGTATTACCTTAATTAATTAAATAAACAGTCCCTGTTTAGCAGCCACCTCGTTTAGCGACAATACATTGAACAGTAAAAACAACCAATCCTCATATATAAAAGCTTTGCAGGACTGTAAAGCAAAGGAAAGCTGAAGTAAGATCATTAGCACAGTTATGGTTTCACTTAGCAACCACTTTGTTTAGTGAATGAATTGCCGTCTGTAGGGGGCGTGCATAAGCGCACCAACGTGCCTACCGTCCCTGTCCTATTGTTTCTCTTATTCTTTTATTTTTCTTATATGTACCCATTTCATATATTCACAACTATGTATACACTTGTACTTATTATCTTGTAAACAATTGACAAATCAAATAAATAAATAAATAAATAAAATAAATAAATGATAACTCCATTACCCATACAGATAATTATAGCACCTATATAAATATATTGCCATATACATATACATATCATATACATATATATAGTTAAAGGTCATATTATTAATATATTCAATAATGGAACATTGAAATTAATACTATATCCAGATAAATATCTTATCCATTCATTTTTTAAAGGTTCTGATAACCTTCAGTCTGTTATTTTCCAAATAGTTCTTCTTCTACCTTATCAGATTTCAGGTGTAGAAAGATATTTCATGTTGGTTTGATTTTCCTAATGACAAAGAAAAGTCTTTATAAAGTAAAAGGGTTTATTAAGTGGACAAAGGCAATTTCACTTATATTACCATGGTGTGCATGGAATCATTTGATATGCAAATCAAAAACTTTGTCTACAATTTACATGGCAATGATAAAATTCAATTTACAAATCAGAAGAACTTTATACAGATAACTTACTAGAAATTGGATATAGCAAATCCATTTTGACAGCTTTAAAAGAATAAATTGCTTATATTATTCCTCTTCATTTACATATTTATTATACCAGCAAACATGCAAATACAATAGGCCTGGCCCTTGAAATTTGACACATCTCTAAACAATGTTTTCCTGTAGTCTAATGATTGCATCAAATGGCAGCATGTTGTCATGGCATGTTATACTAAATTTATACTCCTGTTATTTGTTTATATATTCTTATATAATTAAAAGGGAAATAGATCTGAACAAAGTTGACAAACTTAATGCAAAAACTGAATTTCCTTATTAATACAGAAATCTCAATTTTGTTGTTTCCCTTGCTGATACGAGAAATTTTTGTAATATGTTTATTGAAACCATTTCAGGATGTAGAGACAATTTCCATTTAGTCTCTTAAAAGATTAGAAGGTTTTTCTTGAACCAGAAATTACAGATTATGTGAATATTTTTTTCCATTTCTTGGGTCAAATTGGAGTTTTTACAACTGTCTTAACATCCCAAAAGTGATAAAACATACATTTAAAAAAATCTACAGATTTCCAATGGCTGGGTCTCTCCTTTATACTTCCTCCAGGTTATCTCGATGAAATTCTGGGATTCAGAATTCTCACCACATTTTCAAAAGATATCCTTCTTTTTTGCTCCAAATAGTTTGTGGAAACTTTTTAGAGATACACTTACCATGGGATGTCTTCAAAATCATTTTAAAAACTATCTATAATAGCACCTAGATTACTTTAAAAGAAAATATTCCTTCTTGCTAACAGTTGGTGACCCTTAGCTCTCAAATTACTTTCCCAGTGACAGTTATGACACATTAATTTTAGTACAAGGACATCAGTTCAGAATATGTCTCCATTGCAGAGAAAAGAAGCAAGGCCTGATCCTGAAGCATACTATTTCACTGAGACTTCACTTACAAGTATGTAGCTTGTAATTTACTTGAACCAATAACAACAACAATAATAATCACAACATATATTTTCCCAATAGAGTATGCTTTGAAATTAGTTTTAAAACTCATCTTTCTTCCACAAAATAATTATTCAGGATTAAGGATTAAATTGTCTCCAGTCTTTGTCTTTCTTATTACTTTACACTATTTATAATTATTATAACTGTAGTTCATTTTTTAGGGTGCTACACTATCCTAGAATATCAACCAGATATGATCACATATCTGGCTGTGAGACATGACTATATCAATTAGCTGTGGCTGACAATGAGCAAATTATATCAGAACCTTCCATATGGTCATATTTTTGAAGAGTCTGTGGGCTAGAAATTTATGCTTGATGCCATTCTTAGTATTAAGCCTACCATGATTCCAAGCATGGGGTCAATACTGTAATCAATATGCTATCAATAGTATCTCTAAATGTTTCCATGTGTTCTAAAAGCTTTTAAAGCTGAACTGGGAAAGAGCAACAAGAGAAAGTTGTTGCCTTCATTCTCTATTTGTAATCATGAATAGGATATTGGTCTGGTCCGTCAAGATTTGAATTATAATATGAAGGGCCTGAAGGACTTGAGCAAATCAGCAACAATGTTTGTAACCATTGTTTTTTTTTAAAACAAGGGGAATTCTCAGTTATTGAACAAGGATAGATAAATCAACCTCTTCCTCCAGTAGGAGAAATCTATTGGGGGGATGCATAAAATTTGAAGGATTCCTGGGGATGAAGACCTTTTATTATATTATATTATAAGACCTTTTATTTTTATTTTATTTTTGTAACATTCTATTTATTTCCTTTTCCTTTTCTTTCTGTATCCATTTTAGATTGGACAGAAAATAAAGCTAAATAAGAATAGATTATAAAGGATTTTATAAAAATTAATTAATAACCAAGGAAAAATAATATTTAGATTTTATGCTTTCCATTTCTTGGGAATTAAACCACTTTCAGAAAAAAATGGACCTTGTCTGTCTAAAAATGCAGGAGTGTCTTTGGGGAGAGGGTAAAAAAAGATGCCATTGCAATAATGTGATGGAAACCCCATTAGTTTTTACTTATTCTGATTTTAAGCTTTCCGTTATCCAGATTCACATCTGTTGGCACAATTATGAATGAAGATTAGATTTTTTTTCTTAAAATGATGTCACTGCAATTGAGAATGCAAGTTTCTCAGACTATTGGTAGAGAAACCTGAAATTATCAGAAGATGTCCTTGCTTGCTCTCTTTGTATACACATATATGGACATATATATGGATATATAATTCACTTTATCTAAACAAGTAGAACAAGTTATGCTTTCTTTTAGCAAAATAATAAGGTATTTCTTTGTATTTATTTATTTATTTAATTTATATTGCTGCCTATGCCACTTATTGGAATCTTAGTTGCAAATGCTTGACAGAAATACAGAAAAAGCAACTATTTTGGGAGGCAAAATATATGTATTTCCATTTGTTTATTTGTTTATTCAAAACTGGTCTTTAAAAGCCTGTTCTCTGGGTTTGTCATGCCAAATTTACAATAATCTCTGAATATCTATGCTTTCCATGTTTCAACTCACAGGGTTTGAAACTGAAATACTACCTCTTGGGGTTGTAAAATCCCAAAATTAGGAAGTTCATTATAGTGATTTGCGGATGATACCTAAGAGAATATTAATGGAATCAAGAAATAAGTGGAAATCTGAGAATACTGGTTATTTTTTTATTTTATTTTTAGATCCTAAAATACAGTTCACAAAAATCTAGATAAATTTTCTTTGTAAATTCCACTGTCAGTTTAGGCTTCTTATTCAACTAAGGAGCATAGGAGCCGCTATAACTTCAGCATTTTAAACACCATGATATAGTTATGCTCCTTGTTGCCAAAAGTCATAAAATTTGTATTCCATAAATTGGAGACTGTGGTATACCATGTCCAAAAGTATAAATTCTAGGATTAAAATAGGATTTTAATGTCCCATTTGGGGGAGAAGGATGCCAAAGTCTATTTTAGAGAAGGCCTTCCTTTGTAGAAGGTAAATGAAGTTCCCTTACAGAAAGGATAAAACCAGGAGCTTTTTGGAAAATACTAATACAGCCTAGACACTCTTGTTTTAATATGTTGTTTTAATATGTTGTTGGGCATGTATGTATATAAATTCAAAGAAAAGTCAATCCAAATGTTTTTTTTTTATTTATAAACAGAAATTCTATTTATAAAATGTATATATTCTTAAGGAAAAAGTATAATACCATGTTGCATGAATTTCAGTGTTGATGAAATCATGCCTACTAACAAGGATGTTTCATTCATGTATGTTTACAACTAACCTAACATTCATTTTCGTTGGCGGTATTATTGTATCTTGCCTTCTTAGAGAAATAGAAGCTACTAAAGTTGAGAGTGTTCCCCCAGGCCTTATGGATGGGGAATTCTGAAGTTGAAATCTACCTATGTTTAAGTCATCCAACCTGAGAGACACTGGAGAGAAAGCTACCCATTCCTCCTATCACCTTCACTTCTTACCTTCTCCCTTATAAATCAAATTGGTATCTAAATCAGATTGTTTCACCTGATTGCACTTGTAGAGATGCATGAAAATTGTGTTCAGTTCATAAGTTATGGGTTTGATTGGTTCTTGCCAGATTTAATGCATGGATACGGAATAGATTTTTGTGTTTCTTTGGATGCTATGATGCAGTTCTTGCCCTATAAAATAAAATAAAATAATTTGAAAATAAATATACTGAAGTAGAAAGGCATGGAAATTATTGCAAATGAATGTAGAAATGGGATAGAATTGATTGCTGCATGAATCATACTAGGCTGATCAATTGTATTTTTATGGCGTTGTATCACTTTTTCTAGAAGCAGACTATGCCAATAAAATATAGCTGGTTTTCCACAATAAATGAAATAATGTTTGTTAT